CTTAGTTTTATTGATCTTTTCTGTTGTTTTTTCACTTTTTCTATTTCATTTATTTCCACTCTAATATTTATTATTTCCTTCTTTCTGATAATGTTGGGCTTAATTTTTCTTCTTTTTCTAGTTCTTTCTGGTGTAAAGTTAGATTGTTTACTTGAGATTTTTCTAGTTTCTTGGAGTAGGCTTGCATCACTATGAATTTCCCTCTTAGGACTACTTTTGCCACGTCTGATAGATTTTGGAAGGTTATGTTTCCATTTTTATTTGTTTCAATGTATTTTTTGGTTTCCTCTGATATTTTGGTTTCCTCTGATTTCTTTGTTGACTCCTTGGTTGTTGAATAGCATGTTGTTTAGTCTCCATGTGTTTGTGTTTTTTCCCCAGTTTTCTTCTTGTAATTGATTTTTAGGTTCATACTGTTGTGGTTGGAAAAGATGCATGATATGGTTTTAATCTTTTTAAAATTATTGATGCTTATTTTCTGGCCTAATGTGATCTATCCTGGATAATTTTCCATGTACAGTTGAAAAGAATGTGTATTCTGTTGTTTTTTTAATGAAATGTCCTGTATATATCTATGAAGTCCACCTGGTCTAACATGTTATTCAAGGGTGATGTTTCCTTATTTATTTTCTGTCTGGTTGATCTATCCATTGATGTAAGTGGAATATTAATGTTCCCACTACTATTGCATTGCTGTCAATTTTTCTCTTTATATCTGTTAATATTTGCTTTATATATTTAGGTGAGCCTAAATTAGGTAAATAAGCATTTGCAAATGTTTTATCTTCTTCTTGAATTGACCCCTTTATATCATTATGCAATGTCCTTCTTTGTCTTTTGTTACAGTTTTGATTTAAACTCTATTTTGTCTGATATAAGTATTGCTACCCTCTTTCTTTTCATAGAATATCTTTTTCCATTCTTTCAGTTTTTGTCTATTTGTATCTTTATATCTGAATAGAATTTCTTATGGGCAGCATATTCGTGGATTTTTTTTTATCCATTCAGCCATCCTATGTGTTTTTATTGGATAATTTAGTCCATTTACATTTAAATTAAATATTGATAGCTATGTACTTATTGTCATTTTGTTAATCGTCTTCTGGTTGCTTTTGTAGTTCTTCTCTGTTCCTTTCTTCTTCTCTTGCTTTCTTCCCTTGTGGTTTCATGATATTATTAGTGTTATGTTTATATTCTCTTTTCTTTATGTTTTGTGTAACTATAATATGTTTTTGGTTTGTGGTTACCATGAGGTTCATATATATATATACATGTATAGCAGCCAACACTCATGTATTGTTTTCCTGATTTAACTGAGTTGTCTATCTGTGTTTCCTTGTAGCTCACTGAACTTGTTTAAAAAATTATTTTGAATTTTTTGTCAGGCAATTTGTAGATTTCCATGGCTTTAAGGTTGGCTACTGCAAAATTATTGGTTTTTTTGGTAATGTCACATTTCCTTGATTATTCATATTTCTTATAGCCTTGCATTGATATCTCCACTTTTGAAGGATCAATTACTTCTTCCAGACTTTGTGGACTGACTTCTATGGGGAAATACCTTCACCTACAGTTGAATGCAAAGGTACCAGCTGGGTGGGACATGGCATCTTTGGCTTTGTGGGTGTTCAGAATTGGCTCTGGCTCTGGGGAAGGCACGGTATACAAGTCTACATGCTGGTCCATCACCTGAGGTTGGTGTCAGTGAATACTGCAGTTGTCCTCAGTGACCAAGTCTGCTGGTGTCCACAGTTGTGGCAAGGGCTATTGGAGTCCTCAAAAGTGAAGGTCCTTGGATCCTCCTGTTCATTTATTTTCCCATGGGACAGTCATGACTTAGGGCATCCCTTCTGGCACCATGTTCAACATGTGGGTGCACACACAGCAGCTCTGGCTGCTGTGTCTGGGATGCACATAAGTAGCTGTGGCTCCAAAATTCTGCAGTGTGGGCCTACTCTTTGCTGCAGTGATGCTGATGTATTGTGAGAGGGACAACTCATATTGGAGAAGAGAGGCCAAGTGGCAGCTGCTTCTGGTGGAAGTAAACACAGTGGCTCCTTCTGAGTAGGGGAGCCTCAGCAGAGCCTGCTTCTTTTGGGAGGCTAAGCAGCAGGAGCTCCTTATGTGTGGGGGTCATTGTAGCAGTGGCTCATTCTCTGAGGGAACACAGATGTGGTGGCTCTTTATGGGGGAAGGGAGCATCGGTGGCTCCTTGTCCTGGAGAACACAGCATTGATAGCTGCTTGTCATGGGAAGGGGGGTGAAAGGAGAGTAGTTTCTTCTGGATAGGGAAGGCAAGGAATGGCATTGACTCCTCCTTGGGAAGATGTAGTGGTGGTGGCTCCTTTTAGGGGAGTGGAGCAGTGGCAACTCCTTCTCTAGGAGGACATAATAGCAGTGGCTCATTGTGGAGCTGGAGGCAAAGGCCCTGTGGCTCCTTGCGGGGGAAGCAGATTGGCAGTGGTTCCTTGGGTAGGGGGCAGGGCAGCAGCTCCTTCCTGTGAGAGGCAGGGCAGTGTAGGCTCCTCCTTTGAGGGCAAGGTGATGGATGGCAGCTCCTTCTGTGGGGAGGAGAGCATCCATACCTTCTCCTTGAATTGGTGCAGAGTGGCGGTGGCTCCTTCTTGTAGACGCAGGAGAAGGACATGAATGCCAGGCAGCTCAGTCAGCTGGGGTCAGTGTCAAGAAAGGCTGCCTTGTGGTGAAGGGCTGCTGGGGTGCTCCTGCCTTTTTTTTTCTTCCTTGGGGGTTCCCTATTGGTGCCTAGCTGTGCTGGACTGAGGTGAAGTAGGAAAGATACTTCCTACACATTTCTATATGGTCATCTTTACTTTTTGTGGTCCACTGGGCTGCTACAAGTTCTTGGGAGAGGAGCAAGAAGCTCTCTCAGAGCTATTTTTGTTGGTATAGTTATATATTCCTTGTTTTTGTTGTTATTGTTGGGGGAAACAAGCATTGGGACCTCCTCACCCTGCCATTTTGCTGCTGTCAGCTCCTGTATAATTCAATGTGTATGAAATGTTCATGGACAAATCTATATAAACATAAAGTAGGTTAGTGGTTGCTCAGGGCTTGAATGAGTGGGTAGATTAAGCAAGGGAATGATGGCTAAGGAGTGCAGGGATTTTTTTTGGTGGTAATGATTTTTCAGAAATTGATTGTGGTGATGCTTACAAAATTCTGTGACTATACTAAACATCATTGAATTGTACACTTTTAAATGGATGAATTGTATGGTATGCAAATTATATCTCAATAGAGCTTTTATAAAAATTAATATGGCATCAGTTGGAAGATGGATTGGAGAGGGCAAGACTTGGAGGCATAGAAACATGTTACGAGGTTTTGTAATAGTCCAGTTGAGAAAATAAGAGTCCAAACTAGGGTAAGAGTATTAAGAATTGGAAGGAGAAGAATATGACTGTAAATGTGGAGATACAATCAATAGGACTTTCCCTTTGGTGGGATGTTGAGTATGTGAAAGAGGGAAGACAAAGAAGACTAAAGTTTTGAGTCGGGGTAAGTAGGAGGGTTTTAATGTCATTACTAGACACTGGGAGCACAGATTAACAGGGTTCCTTTTTCAAAGGAAGGAGGTGAGTTCATATCAATTTTATTTTTTGATGTGCTGTCAAGACAATCTTCAAAGATGACCAGTATATAATTGAAAATTTCATATTGGAGCTTAATAACAAGGGAGATTAGGCTAAGTATTTAAGAGTCATCAATAAATAGATCATAATTGACATCAGAAAGGTGGCCAAAAGTTTCCATGCAGAGAGTGTGGAAAAAAGAGAAGAGGTCTGGAGAAAGAGCCTTGGGGAAACAGCTGCATATAGGGGGCAGCAGTAGGAAAAGCAAACCAAAATAGAGCCAAAGAAGGGAGGCTATGATAAGCAGAGAGAAGAGTAGCAGAGCTACCTTACCAGAGGATTGAACCTGGGCCTTTAAGGATAGGAACAATGAAGAGAGGCTGATGGTGTCCCAGGAGGGTGAAGAACAAAGTCACAAAAATAAAATGGAGACTGGTATGGAAATTATGGAGAACGACCTTAAAGATCCTGGGATTCACCCACCACAACTTCTTGGGATACCTGGGAGTTGAGAAAAATTTCTGACCTGGTCCAACTGGAGATTCTTCTTACCCTTCCTAGGTGAGGTTCTCACTTACCAATGGAACATCCCAGAGAGATCTGGCCCTGGGCCCAATGATTCTGCATGTGTTTCCTGGATCTATTATTCTTCCGTGGATCCCATCAAGGTAAAGATAATATGAGCTTCCTGGAGGTGAGTCTCAGAAATGGGCAGACTGCCTGGCAAAAAGAAGCTGTTAAACAGGTGTAATAAGGAGCCCAGCCCTGAAATACTAGAGCTGAGGGTTTGGGGAAAATTCCTAAAGTGCTGGGCTTATTTTAGTAGACAGGAGGAGGGATGAAGGGAATAGGTAATCATCACGTATTTTTTCTGAAGATTTCTTTCCTTGTATCTTCTTCTTGGATCCCATAAGATAACAAGCTCTCATTTAAAAAGCCCAAGATTGATTGTCAAGAGATTGGGCTTCCAGCCCCAAATATGGTTCTATCTTGCCTTTGGAGTGACTTTAGACAAATCATTCTGCCTTTGTTTCCTCATCCAGAAAGTGGGTTTATCTATCTAGCCACCTATCCACAGCCAGCTATCAGCAGTCACTTATTGAGAGCCTACTACATTTTAGGAATTTTACTTGGTGCTTTGGGTGATATAAATATAAGATACAGTTCCCAACTTCAAAGAGTATTATTTACTTGGAGGAGACAGATAAATACAGAAATAATGTTAGCATTAAATACAGTCGTCCCTAGGTTTCCATTGGGGATTGGTTCCAGGACCCCTGCAGATACCAAAATATATGGATGCTCAGATCCTTACATAAAATGACATAGCATTTGCATATGACTTATGCACAGCCTCCCAAATACTTTAAATCATCTTTAGATCACTCATGATACCTAATACAATGTAAATGCTATGTAAATAGTTGTTATACTATATTGTTTAGTGAATAATAAGAAAAAAGTCACATATTCAGTAGAGGTGCAAACATTGTAGAGCTTTTGATCCGTGGTTGGTTGAATCTGTGGATGAGGAGCCCGTGTATATGGAGGGCTGACTGTATATATAAATGTAAATGTAAATATAATTATAACAAAAATATATTTTAAATATAGCATATTAGCAGCTCCTTAAAACCATATAATATAAAATGCTATGGAGGTCCATGAGAGAGTGATTACATCTGCTTAGAGAGAGGGATGAACAAAAGGGAAGCTGGAGAAGGCCTCACAATGGAAGGTACATGTACTTTGAACCTTGAAAGCTGAATAGCAGTATGCCATAAAATAAGGGATATGGTGATTGGGAGGGCATTACAGGAGGAAGAAACAGCGTGAGAAAAGGCACTGGGTTGTGAAATTGCTTGTAGGGCTTGGAGATCAGTGAATAGTCCAGCCTGGCAAAAGCATTTTACCTGTGTCCCAGGATGGTTGTGAGGATGAATTCAGGTGATATAGTGGAGAAGCTTATAGATGTAAGATATTATGATGAATTTCTGAGGGCAGAGTGGGCTTGGGTGTCAGCTTGCCTCCCTGTAGAGCACTGCCACTCAGGAACAACCTCAACTCTTTCACTCTCTACCCCTTCCTCCTATCCTCAGGACATGTATAGTGGCCTAGTGGGGCCCTTGGCCATCTGCCGAAAGGGCATCCTGAAGCCTGATGGAGGACGGAGTGACGTGGACCGAGAATTTGCCTTGTTATTCTTGATCTTTGATGAGAACCAGTCTTGGTATTTGGAGGAGAATGTGGCAACCCATGGGCCCCAGGAACCAGGCCGGGTTAACCTACAGGATGAGACTTTCTTGGAAAGCAATAAAATGCATGGTCTGTAAAAGAGAACCTACCTTTCTTCCAAAGAAGTCCCCACTGGTTTCATGGGGGTATCAGATAGGCCCATCACTACCTAAGGGAGTATAATTCCTGAAAGGATGGGAAGATGGGAAGGTGAATGGGGAAAAGTTATAAGAAATATCTCCTACTATTATACATTTATATACACAAATTAGAGACATGGTGGTCCACATTAGGTCAGGTGCCCAGAAAACAGGAAGCTGACTCTATAAAGTTGCTGTGGTGACACCAGCACATTTTAACATATTAGAGAATGCAAGATGAACATTTATGAGCCTCAATGTACCTGGAGAGCTAGCTGCTTCAGACCCCTCTGCTTTAAAATCCTTAGTCTCTCAATATTATCTTATTTCTTTACTACTCTGAATCTGAGGTCTGCTTTTTCAATAGCTTCCAAAATAGACAAATGGACAGCTTGTCTTTTAGTCTATCTTTAAAACAAAAATTCAATTTACAGATAGAAAAATTGAAGGGAAGAGCCTCAGAGAGTAGCCTACTGGGTTTATATTACACACAAGGAAGAGCTTTTTGACACTCAAATGGATTTTTGAAGGAAATTATGCATCCAAGCCTTCCTTTGTTCTAGAAATCTGTGTATAGTTTCAAAAATAAGAAAAAATCTCAAATGAGAGGGAGAACTTAAGCGCAGTGGAATGTTTGAAGTGATTTCTCAGTATCCCCTCTAGTGAAATATTTCTTTGATCTGAGGATAAGGTACAGGTTTAATAGTGACTCTAATGAACCTCAAAAGTAGTATCTCATTGTCATACACATTCTAGCTATTTCCCCTTGATGAAGATATGAGTGATTCACATTGGAACAGATGATTCACAAACTTTACAAAGTGAACTTTTTAGCTCTTGTAAAATCAAAGAAATAAATTTCCCAGGACAAAAAGGGAATGAGGGCACAGTTAGATTTTGCTAGTGCAAGGGTTTGGCTAATGCCCATTTCCATCTGTTTGTTTATGTGTTCATTTGTTCAGATTCTTCAGGTATCAATCCATCTACCTATCTGTCTATCATGTATTTGTTGAACTCTTTCTGAGTGCTGGCACTGGAGATAAAAAAATAAATAATGTTGAAGTCTGAGGGAAAGTAAATAATATCCATCCCTTCCCTTCTAGACTCCTGAACCAATTGAGAAAGAAACAGATGTTTAAGATCAAATATGAGCTTATTGAGAAGGGTAATTGGAAAACTAAATTTAGTTCTGCGACTACATGGACTTGCTAACACTCCCCCTGCAATGAATAGATTTTCCACCCTGTCATTGACATACACAGACTACAATAGCCCTCTTCCTTTGCACGGACAGAATATTCCCTACAATGGGATAGTAAATCTGTTTGTACCCCCTTCTGTGGTCAGACTGATCCAAGAGAGAGAAGATTCAGAAGGAGCAGAGTTGAACATGTTTAGTTCATTCTCTCAAACTTACAATTTGGTGAGGGTAAATACAAAGCAGGCTACAAATGCTCCTTCCATTACTTCCCTTTTAGAGGTGTAGAATAGAAATTATCTTACCTCTGTAAGAACACAAGAAGTGGGATAATGTGTCCTGGGCATAGTCCTGACAGTGTTAATTAACATGGTGATGAGTAGTTTGTTGTCTTTAGAGCATAGGATATGGCCTGGGAAGAGTCAGATATGAGGCCTATGCATTAATATCATTATTAATTCCAATAATGTGACAATCCTTTTTTAAAATATATATTGTAGGCTCAGGTGTCTGTTGGGCGTTCTGACGAATGCAAGGAAACCATAGTACTATAGTATATACATTAATTTCCTGCTTACTAGGAACCTACAGCCTAGTTGGGGATATGAGCTTCCACAAATTAAAAGATAGGAAGCATAGAAAGCATTTTCTGGTGAGTTCCAAAGAGTGGTACAGAGAATAATTGAGGAGTTTGAAGGTGGAAGGGAATGCAAGGGATGGAAGATACTGGGAGGAACTATATTAGGGAGAAGGTAAAGCTTTTACTGGGCTTTGAAAAGATGGATAAAAGGAGGCACAATTTCTGGGAAAGAAGATCAGAAACATGAGCAAGGACACAAAGAACATGCATATGAAGAAATCACCCTAATTGGAATAAATGTGATAGATAGTGGGAGATAAGTCTGGGAACGTGGTTTGGGGCTATATTTTGAAGGACCTTGTAGGCTGAGCTAAGGAGCCATGGACTTGATCTTTTGGGCAGGTGGAAGCTATTAAAGTATTTTAAGCAGCAGAATTACATGGCCATATTAGTTATTTAGAAATCCCACTCTGATAACACCAGTGTGGAAGACAGACCGAAGGGGGACAAATGGAATAGAGAAGAGAGAAGTTAGGCAGCTACTGCTAACATCAGAGATGATAACGACTAGCCCTAGGGAAGTGGTAATGAGAAGTCAAAATGAGAGATATAAGAGACTTTTTTCTTCTTTTACAGCCATTAATGGAAAGGTCTATGCCAACCTCAGGGGTCTTACCATGTACCAAGGAGAACGAGTGGCCTGGTACATGCTGGCCATGGGCCAAGATATTGACCTACACACTGTCCACTTCCATGCAGAGAGCTTCCTCTATCGGGTGAGCTGGAAAGAGGGCTGAGCCCCTTAGGTGTGATTAGAGGAGTGTTTTGACAGCCACTGAGGAAGAAGGTATAGCAAGGAACAAGATAATAATCAGTTGAAAGAGGAAAGATCTTGTACATGGAGCATTGAGTTGAGAATTCTAGTTTGGCTACATATCTCAGGGTCAGTCACTTCCCACTAGGCCTTAGCTCTCCCATCTGATATAGAAGAAACAAGTGGCTTAATTCCGGGCTAAGGAGATTGAAGGAATCAATGTAATTGTGTCTCAGTCATAGACTTGAGACACAGTGAGCAGTGATCCTAAGAGCAAGGAATTTCGGAGCAGTGTCTCAGAATCTCTAAAAGTCCTTAATCCATTATAGGAAGAACTTCAATGCAGGAGATACATGGAACAACATGTAGGTTTTGAAGAAGAAGATTTAGTCTTAGGAAAATGGGGCAGAGTTGGCATTGATATGAACTTAAAGATCAAGAAGTGCTGATAAGGCATGGAGGAAAAAAAAAATTGAGTTCTATTTCTAAAGGAAATATGTGGCCCCTTCCTAGGGCTCAAGACTTAAGCAAATTTACCCAGATTTTAGCCTCCTGACAAGTTTGGAGATACTAGTTTTTAGCCCCCTAAAGGAAGCTGGAATGTCTTTTACTTTGGGAGACTTTAAGAAAAAGTAGGAGGAGAGAATCTCCTCTGTTCATTCAGTTTGTGTGAGTGAGTTCATAGGGGAGAGGGATAAGGTAGTGGGCATTTTAAGCTGCTCTCTGGTCTACAGATCTTGGAGTCCCATGTCTCTGATGTGAACATTCAAACTTTTTAGCTCCTATAACTTCTGAGATAATCTCTGTACCCTTGACGTCCTCTCCCTCACCCCTAATCTCTCTTGCAGAATGGAGAGAGCTACCGGGCAGATGTGTTGGATCTGTTCCCAGGGACCTTTGAAGTTGTGGAGATGGTGGCCAGCAACCCTGGGACATGGCTGATACACTGCCATGTTACTGATCATGTCCATGCTGGCATGGAGACCCTCTTTACTGTCTTGTCTCAAAGAGGTAAGGCCTAACTGACCAAGATTGGCCATCTTCTAGCACTTTATCTAGCCTATATGAACCTGATAATCCCCAAAACTCTCTTGCACCTATCTTTCTGATCCTAGAAGAACCAGGACTTAGGGCAGAGCATACCCCCCTCTAGGTGTTCTCCCAATCAATATTTCTCATTCTCCACTAACCCCTTGCTCTTGCCCCCTCCTAATTACTTTGACATCTGTTGAGCTCACATGGGTTGACCCAGCCTGAAACTGGCTGGGTTCTATGCATTGCTGCTTAGTGCAGATTTGCTTCCTTTGAAATACGTTTAATTTGCCTATGAATTTATTGTTTTAGGACTCATTAGAGGTACTGACTATTTCAAGGAATCTTGCTATTGAGTCCTTTTTTAAAAAAGAAGAAATATAATTCTAACAGTCACCCCTTAATTGATTTGTTTTGTGAGAATTGTGAAAGGCAGTTCTTTCTGTCCTGGACAGCTCTGTCTAAGGCTTAAAAGATATATTGGTATTCAATTACAGGCCAGCTTATCCAAGACAGAGTTGCTACTAAGAGTGGAAAAACTTTTTCCTTATATGTTTTAAATGGAGAGAAAATAGCTGGGGTAGTTCATCAATCAATCTCTGTTCATCACCAAGAATGTGGAAGGATAAATTGCCTTTGATTTTGTGTCTTTGGGTCATTAAAGGGTTAAGTGTCTCACCTCTTAAACCTCTTGACCTGAATCCAGTCCTGAGCATTATCTTCCTTCCAAGAGGTCCTATAGAACCTACTGGGGCCCACAGGAATCCAGGGATTTTTTTCTCTTGTGCTTTTAAAAAGATGTCATACTGCTTTGAAAACTGGTGGTATTGAGGTAAGTATTCTGGAATTGTTAGTCATTAGCACTCTATCAGCAGGAATAGAAACCAAGAAAGTATATTGGGGCATTCAAACAGGCTTAGCAAACCAGGGTAGAGAATACAACTCTGCTGTTTACCCCCAGGAAAGGAGACAAATAATTGTACATTTTGATTTCCTGTATCTTTGAAAAGCTTTGTTTTCTGGTAACCCATACTGCTAGAATGTGGCCTGCACTTATTACTCTAGTACTACTCCCCACCACCCAGATAAGCACACAGAATTTTTTGTTGTGTTCTGCCATTCATTGGAGCCACAGTCAAGTGATGAATTGACATGCCATCAAGATGCTATAGATCCAAGACAACACGTTGTCTCTGTGTATAACAATGGGTCATCTCAAATATAGGCCATCTAATAGATAAGAGTCTATCTCAATATATATCATCTTGGAACTTCCACAAATAAGGATAGCTCTTATCTCTCTATGACAGTGAGATAGCTCACAAATCTTACCTGTTTGCCTTTTTGTTTGTTTATATCCCACTATGGTCTAATCTGATATTGTTCTAACCACATATGTGTTAAAAGGCCAACCAGAGGTAAGAGTTGAAGACAGATAGGGAAGAAAGGACTAACTATTGGAACAAGGTTCTTGCTGAGGAAGCAAGGGATGAAAACCAGAACTAAAATGAAAGACTATACTGGAGTATGGTCAGTTCTTCTACTGAAAGAAGAGAGAAGACAGAAAAGAAAAATATCAATGCATATGTTTGGGTGAGGGGTTTGACAGAAAGATGGAATATTTTTGCCTATGATCTCTGTTTCATCTGTGATGCAGGAGACAGAGTCATCTGCTGAGAGTGAAGGATAGGTGGTAGGGTAAAGAGCTTGAAGAAAGTGGGAAGAAGTTTAAAATAACCAGTCTGGTACATGGGAAAAAAGTTTAGTCTGCGTGATGGGAAATAATTAATAATTCCAGGCAGCATTGAGGGCTTAGTTAAAACTGGACAAAAAGAATACTAATCTTTACAATTTTGTGATTTTTCTCCACCAGCATTCAGTGTACCAGACAAAATACAAGGAAAGTATAGTTACTGGGGTTTCCATAGATTATTATAACACTCTTGGATGTTAGTAGTTAGAAATGATAGACCATGAAGTCTAGCCTGACCAGTAATGGAAGAAAAGACAGGATGAAGCTGATAGATTGACAGAAAAATGGAAGGGTCCAGGAGCTACAGGTCTTTATGAGAAGGAAATTCCAGATGGCTTGAGTGTTGGATGGATCAACATTTATGGTGGGAATTGAGGAAGAAGAAGACTGAGTCAGGTACCAAAGACTTTTATGAATGAAGAGAATTGCTAGGTAACAGTGAAAGAAGTGGTTGTGGTTTTTCTAGCCAAATAAGGAGAACTTCAAAAGAGATGTATCTTTACAAAAAAGGGAGGAACAATAATCTCAAAGCAGTATTGAAAGGATGTAAAGGAAGCATAGGCCTCAAAAAAAAAAAAAGCTCAGCCTCAGTAAAGCAAGCAAGAAGAGAAAGAAGTATTCTGAGTAGAGGTTAAATATGTAGGGATGTAGGTTTGACAGGGAGCAGGGGCTTCCTAAAAGGAGGGTGGAAAAAGTTGGCAAAAAGAGCAGTGATAGGGACAGAGGAAATGCCAACAAATATGTAAATAGTGGCAGAGAAGTGACTTACCTTTTGGTCTCCTAAGCCTATGCTGTTGCTCATATTTTGTGTTACTATTCAAAATCAAATCTACATACCAATATTGACTTTGGCCATAAGAAAGTTAATTACAATCACCTACATTTTGCTTACTTTACTACAAAGAGATTCCTCCAACCAATGTTAACCTCCCACAGCAAACCTATGAATTGGTAGGAAGAATAATAGGAATAACCTCTTGTCTCTTTTTTTTTCCACCAGAACAATTAAGCACTATGACCACCATCACCAAAGAGATTGGAAAAGGTAGGGAGAATGATACACAGACTGGGTAGTTGTATATGGTGTGCATTTGGGGGTAGGTGCAGTGCCTGTAGAAAAAAGGATTCACATGAACAAAAGGTGGACTGCAATACTAGCAGGAAGCATCCTGAGATTTCCATAAAACTTCAGAAGCCAGGAACCTCAGGTTCAGCTTCCGTCAGCAGGTTTATTGTCTTTGGCTCCCACCCCCCAATCAACTGAGTTTGGGAAAACAGCTTTATCCCCAGTTGGAGGCTGATATCTTAGCCTCTCACCTAACGTGTGAGGAGGCAGGAAAATGAAGGTCTTGCTGGGTTGGACATGAAGGAGCTGTAGCACACATGAATTCCTCACAGGGACAGTGTGAAATTAGAACAAATACCAAACAGTCTGAACCAGCTGTTTTTTATTCTTGCACTTATGGGATATCACATAGTTGACTCTTTGGAGCCAGCCATTTCTACTTTTCAAGAAAATCAAGATTCTTGTCCTAGCCAGCTTAGGTCTAAATAGTGCTTTCACTCTCCACTGCATTTGTACCTGGACTGAGAAAGATTCAGAAAGTTATAACTAGAAAGGACATTAGAAATCATCAATTTAGTCCTGAGGTTTTTGAACTGTATTTGGAAAAGTCCTAATGATCTGCCTAAGTGTCTTATAAACTGTCAACCAAGAGACTTGGGTATGTCCTGGAAGAGTTGAGGAGAGGTAAGTTGAGGCTGAGAGAGTGGGGCACCATACATATATATGCATGTATTTGTATATATACACATACAACTATATGGTGTGTATATACATATTTTGTGCATATATTTGTATATTCATACACATGTATGTATGTGTAGACACATACATACATCCTCATTAGCTCTTGTATGTTAAAAAGTTTCCACATTGGGGGAAAAAACCATCAAAACTGTGAATCTAATAAAACCCAATAATTTTCTACATGAGAAACTGAGATGGAAAGTGATTTGTCCAAGATCACAAGAGGAGGAAGTATTAGAATGTAAACTCAGAACGAGGATGTTTTTCAGCTTCCATTTGAACTCACTATATTTTATCTTCTCTCAATTTTATAAAAAGATTCACTCATCTAGTTATACATTCATCAAAAATTTACTGAGTGCCAGGGACACCAAAACAAGTAAGACATAAGCACTACTTTTCAGGAGATTTGTCTAAAAATGGAGTGCTACACAGAAACAAGAATTTTAGTGCTAGGTTCTGTACATTGTAGAAAAGGGCAAACAATAATAACAGCTATCAATTATTGTGCATTTGCCATCTTCCAGGTGCTATGCTAAATATCTTATAAATAGTAACACACTTAAACACCACAATAAACCTATGAGTTAATTGTAGTTATTATCCCCATTTTATAAAAGAGGAGGCTCAAGTCCAGAAGTGAGGGGGATTAGGTCACTTGGCCCAAGAATGTACAGGCATACCTCGTAGATAATTGCGGGCTCGGTTTCAGACCACCACAATAAGGTAAATATGGCA